CCCGGCCCAACGTAGACGCCCAACCCTGTGGGTCCCTGGTCTACAGTCTGCTAGTAGCCCAAGTGGCTCTCTCTGGATGAATTCCATCACCTCCTCCTACTTCAGGGGAGAACAGTTCTTTCCATACACCTGATGATGGAAACTGCCAGCCTGGCAAAGGCCAAGCATTCATTCAAGGGAGGTCACGTGACACCTTCCTGCAGAGGACACCAGCTGCTCTTGAAAAGCCGTCACCCCGTTCAGTTGATTAAGGAGCAAGAAGCAAGAGCCCTGTGCTGGAATCCCTGCCCTGGGTAGCCTTCGCCTTTTGGGCTGGCAGCAGCCTGGAGGGGTTCCTGTGAGGGTGATCCAAGACAAGATTCGAGACTCCCCAGTCCCAGGATCCAGGCTGAGTTGAGACCAAGTGAAAGAAGTCTTACCTGCTCTCTGTGGCACAAGTTCACAGTGCGTGGCCACAGCAGACAAGTACAGCGCTCAAGGTACGGCCCCACCATTCACACTAGCAGGCATGCTCCTGCACGCACAGCGACCGTGTAGCAACAGACTAACTCAGAAGCGTCCCCAGGTCCCTATGGCCAGGTCAAGACGCTCAGAAGTCACCAGGGGGCACCTGCCAGCATGATGTGGGGCCTGGACACCCCTGCCTCGTGGCCTTTCTATGTCTTTGCTCCTAAGACCAAGAACCTGGCAGGCACAGAGGTGGTGCCATTCTGTGCGCTGGAAGCAGATGGGCTCACTGTGTTTGCAGAGATGAATGTGCTGTTGTCAACCCTACCATACTTGGCTGTGTCACACAAGGAACAAGTACCACCTGCCACCGGACCCAATCTTCACCGACAGCATCCACCAAACGCCGGGGAGCCCCATCTGTGCTGGGCTTGGGAATGGGCACAAAGCAGATGGCAGCCCTCCGGGGATGGCGTGCTTCAGGGGTCCGGATGAGAATCAGAAAGTCCACATTCACAGGGTGTCCAGGGCTGAGAAGAGCCATGAAAAACAAGGAAGAACGGCAGGAGGGCTGGCCTGAGCAGGGGACCGGTCTAAGCAAAGGACCTCTCTGAGTGGGGGACTGACCTGAGTAGAGGACCTCTCTGAAGCGAGGGATCTAGTGCAGCCCTGCCAGAGGCAAAGAACGGCCGTGGGTATGCGCGAAAGGTGCCAGGCCTCAGCTTTCCTGTGCTGGTGCCAGTGGAGAATACAGTAGAGTTGAGGCCAAGCTGGAAGTGCTGCACATTTCAGCGGAGAGGGCCCGGCACAGGGAGGCACAACACCAGGGACACAGCAGCATTTCAGCTTAGATGACCACAGGCTTCAAGACAGCACCAAGAGTGAGCATGCCACATGATGACTCAACACAACTCTAATGGGGTTTATTGCAAACGTTAAGAACGTGACTTTGCCCAGTGTTAAAAAGCGAAACAGAGCAGATGGAGGAAAGTCCATTCATTTTGATGTGGAGAATGAAAACAGTCAGAACTGGAGCCTGTCACAGGCCAAGCACCAGCTGCAACCGCACGTGACCCTAACACCAAGAACTAGAGAGAGTCCTTCTGGAGGCATCATCCAGCACACAGGCGAGACGCTGGGGAAGAGAGGCTTGTTTCTGTCCTGGCAGGAGGTTAGCAACAGCCTGGGCCAAGACCCTGGGGTGGGTACACACTGAGCGGCCTAGGAAACACAGGCCCCTCCAAGCACAGCCACAACGTGGCTCCAGCCAGGTTGCCAGCCCAGAGGCTGGCTTCACCTGCAGGTGCAGACTAGACAGACTTCTATGAGTCAAGTCAAAGGAAACATGGACCAACATGGAAGAGACTCGAGCTGTCTCATGATACGGAGCTGCTTCGGCCCATCCCCACGCATGCTGATACAAGCACACCCTGCATGGAGTAATGACATTCCATGGTCTAACCCTTGACCCTTATTTAGCTTTTAGGAAGGTGCTTAAAAGTGAAGCCAACCTGGAAATGGAAAGACACTCAAGTTCATGGATGGAAAGACTTAATACTGTTAAGATGGCCACACTCCCAACTGTTCTAAAGTTAATGAGTCTCCATTAAAATCTCAGCTGTCTCTTTTTGGGGTAGAAATTTATGTTGACCCTAAAATGATATGAAAATGTAAGGGACCTGGTTTAGCCAAACAATCCTGAAAAAGAATCAAGCTGGAGACTCGCATGTCCCAGATTCAAACTTACAGTAAAGCTACAGGAGTTAAGAGAGGGTGACGCTGGCGTAGGAAGACAGACCATGGAACAGAGCTGCGTCCAGGAATAAACTCGCACTTGTGGAGCACTTAACCTTGATCAAGGTGCCAGGGCCATTCCAAAGGGAAAAAATAGCCTCTTCAACACATGGTGTGGGGAAAACTAGACACCCACACGAAAAAGGATGAAGTTGGCTGGATTCCCTCCCATACCACATACGAAAATTAATTTAAAATGGATCACAGACCTGGAGTGTAAGAGCTAAAATGATAAAGCTCTTAGAAGACACAAGAGTGAATCTCTGTGACTTTGGATTTGGCAATGGCATCTAGATCTGACACCAAAAGCATAAGCAGTAGAAGACAGAGAAAGTGGAGCTGCAAGTCATGTATCCCGTAAGGAGTTTGTATACAGAATATGTGAAGAACCCTTACAAGAATAAAAGGACAAACTTTAAAACGGACAAGGGATCTGAAGAGCTAGTTCTCCAGAGAAGATACACAGATGGCCAGTAGGCAAATGGGAGTTCCCCCAACATCATTACTCATCATGGAAACACAAGTCAAACCACGAGACATCACTTCATGCCGGTTAGGATGGCAGTCACAAAAAAGACAGACAGTAATAAGTGTTGCCAAGGATGCGAAGCAACTGGAAACTTTAGGCACTGCCAGTGAGAAAATAAAATAGGGCAGTCGCTGTGGAAAAGAATCTAGAAATTTTTCTTTCTTTCTTTTTTTTTGTTTGAGTCAGAGTCTCACTCTATTGCCCAGGCTGGAGTACAGTAGCATGCTCACGGCCACCCCAGCGCCGACCTGCTAGGCTCAGGCGATCCTTCCACCTCAGCCTTCAAAATAGCCAGAACTACAGGCGCGTGCTACCACGCCTGGCTAATTTTTTGATATATTGTAGAGACGAGTTCTCACCACATTGCCCAGGCTGGTCTTGAACTCCTGGGCTCAGGCAATCCTCTTGCCTTGGCCTCCCAAAGCACTGGTATTACAGGCTTGAGCCACTGTGCCCAACCTGGAAATTTTTCAAATAAACATAGATGACCAAACAATCCAGCAATTTCACTCCAAATGTATACCCAGGAAAAACAAAAACCTATGTCACACAAAAATGGACACACAAATGTTCATCTTCATTATAGCCAAGAAGTGAAAGCAGCCCAGTGTCCATCAATGGACAGATGGACAAACACAATGTGGTCTAGCCATAGGATTTCTTTTCTTAACTGTAAAAAGGGAACATAGTACTGATACACGCTACAACATGAATAAACCTTAGAAATTGCATTCAGGATGGGCTCGGTGACTCACTCAGCCTGTAATCCCAGAGCTTTGGGAGGCCGAGGTGAATGGATTGCCTGAGCCTGCGGGTTTGAGACCCGCCTGGGCAAACTGGCGAGACCTCATCTCTACGATAAATCAAAAATTAGCCGGGCGTGATAGCATGTGCCTGTAGTTCCAGCTACTTGGAAGGCTGAGGCGGAAGGATTGCCGGAACCCGGTAGGTCGAGGCTACGGTGGCTGGGAGCGGCCACTGCACTCCAGTCTGAGTGACAGAGTGAGACTCCAACTCAAAAAAAAAGAAACTGCATTCGAAATGAAAGCAGTCAGCCCCAACAGGCCACCCACATGATTCTGTCTGGAATGTTCTGGACAGGCAGATCCCTAATGCCAAAAGCAGATGGATGGCAGCTAGGAGCTGGGGAGGTCTAGGGGGGATGGGAGTGACTGCTACTGGGTACCAGGTTTCTTTTGGGGAGGAAAAAAAGCATCCTCAAAGGACTGTGTGATAGCTGCACCTCTCTGGGAACATCCTAGAAACCACTGATTTGCACATTTTGAATGTGCATACTGCATGGCATATGAATCACAGCTCGGCAAAGCTGTAAAAGCAGACAGAGTTTCTTCGGGTTCTCCTGCGAGGACCATTCACCCTGCTCTAATATTCAAGTAGCTTTTGTTTGTTTGTTTTGAATTGGAGCCTCACTCTGTCACCCAGACTAGAGTGCAGTGGCTGCTCCCGGCCACTGCAGCCTCGACCTGCCGGGCTCCGGCGATCCTTCCGCCTCAGCCTTCCAGTAGCTGGAACTACAGGCGTGCGCTACCAAACCCAGCTAATATTTTGATTTATTGTAGAGATGAGGTCTCGCCAAGTTGCCCAGGCGGGGTCTCGAACTCGCGGGCTCAGGCAATCCACTCACCTCAGCCTCTCAAAGCACAGGATTACAGGTTGAGCCACCGAGCCCGGCTTCAAGTAGTTTTTTAAAGGGTTGTCCTGAGCCCCAGAGCCTTCCCCACCCCTTGGGCCTGGCTGTGCCCCCAGTGTGCCTGTATGCTCTCCCCGAGCAGCCCTGTGCGCCAATGAGGTCACTGCATGGAGTCCACTGCAGGAGACCCTGCAGGCTGCCACCGCACGCTAGCTGCACGGCCTCCTTGTGGCCACAAGGGTGCCCTGCAAGCCCAAGCCTCGCCCCAAGCTCCAAGGGCTGGGAGTGCTTTGGAGTTCAGAGCTCTCCCGACTGAGGCAGCAACACACTGCCCATGACATGCACGTGAGGTACAAGTGCTACACGGTCAGCACCTACTCATCAGTGTGCGGGGAGGTTTTCTCGGGACTGTGGACGTCTTTATGCCAAGGGGGGTCGCCAGGCACCACCTCCTGGAAACTGGTGGAGGCTGCAGCCACAGGAGTTCACAGTGTCAGGGTTAGGGTGCAGGCTGTGGGCAGCAGAGAGGACTGCTGACGGGGGCAGGCGGGACCCCCAGGGCCTCTGGGTCAGGCCTACCTTGGTGGCTGTGGGGAGCGGGGCTTGGGCTTCTCCTTCTCCTTGTCGCGCTCCTTGTCACGGTCTCGATCACGGTGCTGCCGGTCTTTCTCATCGCGCTTGGCTCGCTCCCGCTCCCACTCTTCCTTCCGCCGCTGCCGCTCCTTGTCACGCTCCCGCTCCCGCTCACGTTCACGCTCCCTCTGCCGGCGCTCCCGCTCACGGTCCCGCTCCCGTTCCCGCTCCCGCTCCCGCTGTCTGGTCTCTCGCTCGCGCTCCCGCTCCCTTTCCTGTGGGAAAACAGAAACACAGGCAGTGTCCGTCACTTGGGGATGGACACACGGAACACCCCAGCCCCGCCACTGTGCCATGCCCACCGTGGTGGGAGCCCCAGGAACTGGGCAACAGCAACAGAGCACTCACGGGGATGTGACCTCTGAGTGTCCCTCACAACACCATATCAAGAATGGGAAAGACACCAAGGGACAGCCAGCACAACCCCCAACTCCAGACGAGCCTGGGCTGAGAAACCTTCCACTGTAACCCAGCGAGACTCTGCCCCTTGGCCTTGGCCTTCTGGGACCTGCAGAGTGCAAGCAGCACTGCCTCCCAGGCGGGACTTATACCCATGAAACACGTCATTGTACAGCCAGAACAGAGGGGCATGTACAAGTCGCCCTGGTGATCCTGGGACCACCCTGCACACCTTGCGAATCTGCCCTTGCTCGTATTGATTCATTTTTTCCAAGTTAAAACACACAGGTCTAGGTTCCAGGCCACCTCTGTTAAGTGCCCGATGCCCCTGGGCCTTCTCCCACATCCCAGGCTTCCCTGCCTGGGGTAAGGACAGGGACCCCGCAGCCCAAGAACGATTGGGAAGCTGCCCTATGGGGAGAGGAGACACAACAGGGACACACAGAACCCTCTGAAGGGTTCCTGCAGCAGCTGTCCCGGGTCCTGAAAGCTCATAACAGTCCCCACAGTCACGGCACAAGGCGACTCAGCTGCCCCTGATTGCTCCTTTTCTGGGGTAGTACTGTCCAATCACCCCAAAGCCAAGAGACTCGCAGCTGGAAGCATCTGTGTTCATCAGTACACTCAGCTCTCAGCGGCACAGGGCTGAGGAAGGCCCGACATGGAACAGCCTCTGCTAGACGCGGCAGTAGGTCCAGGGTGCACTGACGAGCCATGGTCACAGATGGGACGGGCATGACAGACGCGAAAAGCATGAGGGTAAAACATGTGCCCTTGAAATGTGCCCTGCGTCGATGACCTTACCAGTAAATCTAAGCTAAAAAAACCACAGTGAAAACAAAGTTTTCAGGACTGTCCCTCTGCAAGGGACTGCAAGCTTCTTCTGTGGTTCTGATGTAGTCCTCGATAAACATCAACTTGGTTTTGAAATCAGGACATGTGCGGACAACATAGCCTCCTATCAAGTCCTACAAATAAAAACGGGTCGCCTTACAGAAGATCATGAGGTCCACACCTGCACGCAGGAGCCACACTTACGCGATAGCTGTGGTAGGGCTCAGCCTCTGTGTACTGCACCCGGAAGTTCTCATACTGCCCACCACGCCAAAACCGCTCGATCTCGTAGTCGTAGTAAGGGTCTGCGTAGGGCTCAAGTCTGAAAGAAGAGCCAAGAAGAAGTCAGCCTTGTCACTCAGCAACACTAGCGCCAAGTGCTCCATAAAGGGTGGGCACACAGAACCCAATGTCACAAGGGAAAATGCCATGCCACGCCCAAGTCCACTCCAGGAACACAAGGCTGAGCAATGTAGGAAGCCCATGAACACCACACAGCATCACAGACCAAAGAGGAGAGCATAGGATGCCACTCAGGAACAATGAAAATGCCCTTGACAAAAAGCCAACACTCTTGGTAAAAATTCTCAAGAAACAGGCACGATCCTTTCTGACCACAATACACATGTATTCACACACCGAAGGACTAAGGCCAGCATCTCACTCAAGGGGAAACAGAGGGGTTTCCCCAGGTTCAGGACGAAGTGAGACCCCCCCGTCTCCATGACCACCTGGGGCACTGAGGCACTACCCATGCAACTGGGCAAGGGGAGCCCACAAGGGACATGGGAACCTGAAGAGGAGGAGCATGATTTCCATCTGCAAACTTCATGTGCTAAGCCTGGAAAGTCCACCAACCCGATGGGTAAAACCAACTCAAACAAACAAGCGAAGGCACCTGCAAAAGCAGACGCGCGAAGAGGTCATGTGCAGAAATCGATGTCTTCGCGCACACAGACAACCAGCCAGGAAACAGAAAGCAGAGAAAGCCTCCTTTCCAGCAATAAGAAATAAGAAAAACACTCAGGGATGAAGCACATCTAACCAGCAGGGTGCAGAGCCCTCCAGAAGGACTCATGGTTCACGTTAACCGAGAGACACCCCTGTGTCTGTACAGGGTGGGTGACATCACCCAGTTAGGCCTCCCAGAGACTCAAAATGCAAGGCAATCCCAGCAAAGACACCAGCGAGCTTCTCTACGGAGCTCAGCTCACATAGAAAGCCAAAGTAAGACCAGCCAGGAACACACCAGAAAGGAGAAGATGTGGCTCAGGGCCACGAACACCCAGAGAAGCCTCTGTATGAAGCCAATGTCAGCGCAGCACTGAGGAACACGCAACCAGGGAAGGCAGTGAGAGGTCGAGACAGGCCCAGGCATGAGGACAGGCAGGGGCAGGCATGGCTGACTGGCCACAGGGAGGTCTGGCGGGGTCCACCACTGACACTCCTTCCCGGGGCTGGACAGAGGCAGGGGCATGTGGGTCTGCAGCGGACAGTTCCAGGGACCCTCCAGGTGCTGCTTGGCTCCAGTCCAGCCTGTCCCTTCTGAAGGCTGGGCAAGACCAGAGGTCACAGCCTGGGAAGGCTCAGTCAGTGGCCACTGACATCCCTGGGTCACCTCTTCAACCGTCACGTGGCCTGGAACTTCTGAAGCTACTTCCTAGGAAGTCCCCTCAAGACCACGAGTTTCTTCTCATTCTATAACAGCCAGACACCAGCCACATCCTCTAAGGACCACACTGTGCGGGTGACGTTTTATCACAACGAGCACACACTCACAAGGGCTGCAGTGACATGGCATCACACATGTAAAATTGAGGGGTAAAGAGACTCCCTGACACTGCCCTCTACAGTGCCTCATTCCGTGGTCACCTAGGGATCAATCACCCCACACACCTCGTTCCAGTCACCCAAGGATCAATCACATTGCAATATCCTCTGCAGGACAGATGACGACCCATGTTCCCAGAGGTCTGGGCTGTGTCAGACTTGGTAGTAGCACATGGAGTGGGCCTATCCCTCCCGGGGAGGTGCCTCTGAGGTCTTGGCCAAGGACACGATTCTGTCCCCAGCCTGCCAGGGAGAGCATGGCAGGTGAGCAGTGTGGCCATTAGAGGACACATGAGAGTTAGAAGCTTGGAGGCCATTTAGCATAACCATTCTGCCTCAAAACAAGGAAACTGAGGCTAAAAGCAATCAACACTAGGAAGAAGCACTCAGATGTCTGCTGCTGCTGGCTGTTCACCTGAAGGTTATAAGATATTACTCCATGGAATGCAACTTGCTTTTGCACCATTCGAGTTGAAGTCACACTGACCCGACCCAGAGCGAACTGCAGGGCAGTCATCCCCCAAGAGGCTAGGAGTCGCATGCTCAGACCTCGGAGAAGGAGGGCTCACAATGTGCCTCCTGCTGCCTATCCCCTCTGCTCCCACCCAGCAGAGTTTGCCCGGTGCCCATTTGCCTGTAGTGGCACCAGTGACAAGGTCCCCAAAGATAGGCAGAAGCCACAGGCAATGCCAGCCCCGCATGCTGCTTTGCCCTGGGAATATGCAGCACACAGGCTCACCCCACAGGGGGTCCATCTCCCTCTACAGATGCCGCCCTTCCTCCCCAGCAACAAGTACAGCCTCCCGACAGGGCTCTGGCAAACCCCAGGCATGAGCCACCCACACCAGCACACACAAGCCAGCAGGGGGAGCTCTCAATGGATGCGGAGCCCCATGCAGCTGACAGCAGATGCAGTGACATTCCAGTCCTCTCCAGCAGAGGGATGCAGAGGGCAGAGGGCAGGGGGCAGGCAGGGCTCAGCCAACAGACCTGAACTGACCAGGCACCATGTGGGTTCAAAGGAGGCATGGAGCCAGGTGGCAGGGCTGTGCCCACTTCACTATAATAGGAGGGTCAGCACTCTCGGTTGAGTGTCAGGGGGAGAGGGGCTTGGCCGACATGTGCAAATCTCCCCAGGAGAGGCACGGGCTTCATGAAAGCCACTGTTGAACTTTGAGTTCACCCCATGGACTCTTCCAAAGGGAAGTCTGCTGGCCAGCCTCCACTGCAGCTGTGCTGCATGTACTCTGGGCAGAGGCCATGCCTTGGGGGGTGAGGGTGGCCCTAGGCCCCAGGCATGGGGCCTGGTATCTGACCCAGATGTATTGAGAAGCTCTGTTCATGATGGAGCTACTACTGGTGGCCACGTTCCTCATGGTGACATCCTCTGCATGCTGGGGTTGCCTTGTGTTTTCTGGGTCACCTATCCCTGTTGGACCTGTAGGATATTCTTGGTACCGTGACTCTAGCAGTCCTACACAGAGACACTTTTTTTTTTTTTAAGTCAGGGCCTCACTCTGTCGCCCAGGCTGGAGTGCAGTGGCATGATCACAGCTCACTGCAGCCTCCACCTCCTGGGCTCAGGAGATCCTTCCACCTCAGCCTCCCATGTAGCAGGAACTACAGGTGTGCCACCATGCCC